CCATGACTCCTTTGTCCGTGGAGCCTACCCTGGCTGGAGCTTCCTCCATGGCCATCTAAGGCTCCAGCAGCAGAATCCAGAGCATGTGCTGCTGTCCCCAGTCAGGTTGGCGTCAGGCAGGTCACCTTCCTGCCAAGGGTCAGAGGATGGCTTCAGGCTGTCATTTAATTGCACCTATTTGTCCATGGATTGAGAAAGAGATTCTAAGAGAATCTAAATGATGCAAAGAGATTTCCAGGCATGGTGAATGGTTCCAAGTTAATCCTATATTTTACTCCTTTGACGGTAGAAACCCAAGTCCTGTGGTCCGTGGAGGGTGTGTTTTGACGTGTGTGGCACAGGACCTGGACCTGAGGCAGCATGGTGGCTGCCTGCCTGGGGGTGTGGGACTCAGGTAGTGTCTGATTCGGAGCATGGGCCCAGGTGGAGCCACAGGCTGCACCAGCTGAGCTGTACGCTGTGTGCAGGCCCTGAAGCTTGACGGTTGAGACAAGGACATGCCCCTCCCCCCTTGTATTGTGTCTTGGCTTGTCCTCCCATTCCCTGTTGGGGAACTGTGGAATTTCTTGTCTGGTTCTGACATTAGAGGGATACTAACAGGGTTTGGCTGTATTTATGCATCGCTTCTGGTCCTGTGCTCCCTCAGGACCTAGTGAGGTGAGACACCCCCCCTTTGCAGACACTGGACTTTGTGTGTCAGCAGTTTGGGTTCTTCCTGGCTTCTAGGATCAGTCTTGTGTGCCAGAAACCTGGGCCCCCATCTTCCCAGGCCAAGCCCATCTTCCTTGATTGATGGCCAGAGGGTGTGGAAAGCATGCAGGCCTCTGGAGGCCACTGGAAGTCACCAGTGCCACTTCCTCCATGAGAGCTCCTGCCATGGGCCTGTGGCTGACCTCTGTTCTAGGTTTTAGGGAGGGTGGTGTGACCCAGCTAGGACATGTGTGGGGCACTGCTGAGCAGCTCTGCTCTGAGTTCTGCCTTTGTTCTTGTCCTATCTCGGGGACCAGCATGTCCTCCCCTGCCTGATGATCTGCACATGCAGTGGGCAGTGAGCTAGCACTCCGGCTGCTGCCAAGGAATCCCAGCCCTTTCTGCCTGCCTGGAACAACTGTGGAAGCCATGTGAAGACAGTGGAATTGGGGCCCAGAATTAACGGGAAGCCAGGCGCCAGTGATTGGAAGCTGCTATGTTGTAAGAGCAAAACTTCTCTCCAGTCTTCATCTTGTTTTACTGCCTCCAATGAGTGGTCACCTCTCCCTGTAGATGGCAGTGACCCTCTGGGACTTAAGGCATGCTATGCTCTACTAGCAGTGGTCATTTTCCCTCCTGCATTCCACACACAGAAGGGGATGGGCTGGACTTGTACAGCTACCAGAGAATTCACCCAAGGACCAAGCTTTGCCCTTGAAGCCTCCAAAATAGGATTGTGCTTACATCCTGTGGAATTCTGGTTGAGCTCATTTAAAAATACCTTCCCTGCCCCAGGGCTGTGGGGTAAGAGGACAGGGCCTGGCATAGTCCTCCCCTCATGGTGTCCCTAGGGTGCCAGCCTGTCTTGCCCCTGCACCTCACAGTGGCACCATCTTTTGCCTGTTATGTCTCCTCCACCCCTTTTCACGGTGCCTGGCACCAGTGGAGGCCACCTGCAAAGTTCAGGTCCTCCTGCCTTCCTTCCCTTTCTGAATCATTTTTCTTGCAGTGCTGAGGACTGAGCCAGGCCCTTTGAGCTAAGTGACATCCCCAGTCCTCTTCATTTTTCAATTTGAGGCAAGGTCTCCCTGCATTGTCCAGGCTAGACTCAGACTTGCTTTCCTCCTGCCCCAGTCTCTCAGAGTGCTGGGATTACATGCGTGTACCACCATACCTGGCTAATGAATTTTACTTTATGCTACAGCAATAGTGACAAACCTTTTAGATCAACTGGGTCCCAAATGCCCTAGGATTTTCTTCTGACTCGATCAGGCCCTGATGGTCATTGGTCAGGGACGTTGCAACTATAGTGATGAGGAACCAGAATGCTACACCACACCATGTCATGTGGAGAGCCAACTTTAAGGGTCACCTGAAGACCTCAGAATCTTTTACTCAGAGGGTCAGTATGTCCTGCGATGAGGGAGGTCAGACACCATGTGACCCTCTGCTGTCACTGCGGGATGCCTGGAGCTGGAACATGGCAGGACATGTGGCACTGCACTGCTGAGTTCTGGGGTGTCATGGCAGTACTATAGAGAGGCTCTACATCATGCATCCTGGAGTCCAGGGGGCCAAGAGCTGGACAGACACCCATAGGACACCATCTCAGGGACTTGGAGGACTGGCAGAAGTGACCTTGAGCATACAGCAGGTAGTGATCCAAAGTGAGCCCTTCAGAGTCTTGAGCATGGAGGGCTCACATGTCCTTGAGAAGGCTCAGTTGACCTTGGCCCTGATGCCATCCCTGGCAGAGTTAAGGCAGGAAGTGGTGACATGTGGGCGCAGTGTGAGACTGACATGCAGACAAGGTGCCTGGGCTCTCCAGGCCCTGAGCAAGCTTTCCAGTCCCCGCATTCAGGTGACAGATCAGGCCCAGGCACTCAACCACACCACGATGCTCCAGTGATGGGCAGGGTGGTCCCAGAGGCTGGTCGGCCCATGTGCCATCTGCAGGTGGCAGGCCACGTGCTGCCTCCTTGCAGTGGAGGTTCTGGGCAACTGCAGCACGAGTGAGGTGGGCACCTGGGGTGTTTCCTAGGCCATCCATGCCATAGTGCATGTGGCCCCATCCTGTGATGAGATGAGCCTGTCAGGAAGCAGGCTGTGTTGGCGAGGTGGTGGGGGTGACAGATGGGCACTTCCTACCCCACGTGTCCAGACGTCACAGTGTGATTGTATGCAAGTGGCTTGATGAGGACTTTTGCAAACCAGATCGTTGTACCCAGCAGCAGGAGTGGGCTGGCAAATTTGGAGTGGGGCTGGATGAGCTCTGTGCTGGCTTCTGAGGGCCACGTGACAGGGCTGTTTCCCTGGGCTGCAGGGTCAGAGGGCGGCCACCAACAGGCCCGGTGCAGGTGGTGGCTCCTAGGTGGCCCAGTCGCAGCACATCCAGGGTGGAGAAGGAGCCAAGTGACACTGTGATGCCCCAGGGCCCTGCCTCCTGGGTGGCTTGGTCAGGAGCCTGAACTGGGGCCCTCACAACCTGGGCTGGGATCTGGCTCCTTGCTGCCCCCATGTGGTCATGTCCTGGCAACTCAGCAGTTCTGTATGTATGTACGTATGTATGTATTTAGTTTTTGGTGGAACTGGGGGTTGAACTCAGGCCCTTGCGCTTGCCAGGGAAGCACTTATTCTGCTGAGCCATCTCCCCGGCCCAGCAGCTCTGATTTAGCTTGCTCAGCTGCCAGGCCAGGCTGGAGGACATCAGCTATGGAGGGCACTGCGGGCTGTGTTTGGGACAGACCTGGAACAGGCAGGGTCCTGGACTTGTCTGATCATTCCTTTATATTTTTCATCCTCTGTTGAGAGCAGTGAGTTGGTTTCTGTAGCTGCTTCAGGAGTTATCAAGCTTGGTTGCATAAACCAGTCAATAGCTAACTCAGTCTACAGGGTCAGCAGGGCTATGGCCACCTGGAGAGCATGGGCCTGGAGAACCTGCCTGGTGGCTCCCTCGTTAGTGGCACCTGTCACTCACTCACCCCTGGGCCATGCATGCAGTGACTAACCTGGACATGCTGAGGCATCACTTAGCCAGTCTGTCCTGGGCAGGCCTCCTTGCAGCACACAGTGGGGCCTCTGCCCAGTGTGGCAGGAGGCATCCTCTTGTGACTATAGTAGGGAGCTGGGTCATGCACATCGCCATAGAGTGCAGAGTGGTGCCTAGGGCTGGAGCAGCCAGTGGGTGTCCACAGCGGGGCTCTCCTGGTGCCCTGGGCCTGGGCCCCTTAGTGGTGGAGAATCACCCTTGGGCATAGGGCATGGGGCAGGCTGGGGTTGATGGCCCCTGCTGTTCCTGCTTCACATGCTTGGCATCACAGGGCAATGCCCAGCAGCATGGCCAGCCTAAGGTGGGTGCTTCCAGGGTCCCTGGCCCTAGGGGGTACTGCAAAGGATTGGTAGATGGCCTCCTGCCCTCCTGCCCCCACCACCTCCACCAGAGAAAAGGCTGTCACTTAGTTCTGCACAACAGGGTGGTGAGGTGAGTGGTATGGTGGGTCTGCTCCTACAGAGGCCTTTCCAGTGAGGTTCTGAGTGGGTAAAATAACTGGATGGAGCCCACACTGTCGACCTGGGCACATCCTTCTCCTGTCTCACTCTCATATTCTTGTTAGTGTGGGAGAGAGTATATGCACATGCGTGTGGTGTGTCTGTGTGTGTAGAGCATGAGAATTCCTGTGTATGGAGTGTGTGGTATCAGTGTGTTGGGGTGTATGTAATGTTAGTGCTATGTTCAGTGTTAGCATGTTGAGTGTAAGAGTGATATGAGTGGTGTGTATGGCGACAACACGTTGGGTATATCTGGGATGTTACTGTGTTGGGAAGTGTGGTGTTAGAATGTTGGTGGTACATTTATGTGGTATTGGTGTTAGTGGTGTGTGGTGGTATGAGAGTGTCAGTAGTGTGTGCTGCTGGTATGTCAGTGGTCTATGTGGCTACAGTGTGTTAGTGTATGTGTGTTGTCACACATGTTGATGTCCTATAATGTAGTGTTAGCATGTTCTGTAATGTTTATATAATGTATATAGTTAGGACTGGTATTGGGGTATGGTGTGGTATCAGTGGCTGACAAAGAAGGTATGTGTGTTGTATGATGTTAGTGGGGGAGGGGAGTGTGTGTTTTTGTGTGCGGCATGGTATTAGCATGTTGGGTGTGGCATGGTGTGAGTGAGGAGTATGCATGTGGTGATATGTGCACAAGGCCATATGTGAGTGCGTGTGCACCCGTGTCTGTGTCAGAAAGGCTGCAGTCCTGGGCAGGCACAGTGTCTTCTACCTCCACACCCACTGACTGTCCTGTCTCTCCACAGGACAGCTGTCCTCAGCGAGGGCCCCTGTGCCCGGCCCTGAGTGTGCGCCATGGGCCTGCTCGCCTACCTGAAGACACAGTTCGCCGTGCACCTGCTCATTGGCTTCGTCTTTGTGGTCAGTGGGCTAGTTATCAACTTTGTGCAGCTGTGCACGCTGGCCCTGTGGCCCATCAACAAGCAGCTCTACCGTCGCCTCAACTGCCGCCTGGCCTACTCCCTCTGGAGCCGTGAGTGTCCCACTCTCCTGCCTTCCCACTATGGCCCCTGGCACACTGGGTGGGCGCCGCTGCTTGGGAAGGGGACTGGGCCTCCATGCTAATTGGGGCTGGCCTGGTTGGGCCCCAGGTGTCCCCCATGGGGCCATCTAAACTGTGGACCTGGTGGTTTCCTGTGGTTCAGCCTGGGGCTGGGGATGAAACCCAACGTTTAGGTCAATCAAAGAAAAAAGCAGGTAATAGAAAGTAGGGGCAGATCTACCTGGAGAGAGGGGAGCACAAGGTAGAAGAGGGGCAGAAGTCCAGGAAGGGGCTGGAGAAAGAGAGAAGCTGTGAGGTCCAGGCACCCCAGCACCCCGTGAGGAGTGCAGCCATTACTACTGCAAACACTGACCAATGAAAGTAGAAGCCTGCAAGCAGTCAGCTCGGCCACCAGTGAGGCTGGCCAAGCCTCAGGCACACACTAGGGTACCCAACTATAGCCAGGTGTGGGGCTCCAGCCACTGAACATGAGGGGGCTACCCACGAGTGGCACTGCATGACCAGCGCATGCCTAGAGGGTTACATGGAGTCCCTGTCTATAACCTCGATTCAGCTCCTCCAAGACAGCATGTGTGGAGCACACTGAGCATGCAGACCCACAGCAGAGCCTCATCCTGCCGTGTCTGTCTCACCATACAGCTGGCAGTGGCCCTCCTTCCCTACATGAGACCAAGCATGAACTGTCCCTTGGGCAGAGCCACCCAGGCCACATTGGCCTCCCACAGGTGGAGGAGCCATCCTGCAGATTCATTTTAAGGGGCAAGGAAGGCACATAACAGCATCAGCACGCCGCCTTCACATCTTGCTCTGTGCAAGCCCCTGGTGTGGTGTGCAGAGCCCAACAAGAGGTGGACACCCTGAAGGCACTGTGCTGGGGAGTGGGAGTGGGAGGCCTCACTGACCTCCTCCACACTGCCCCACCACTGGGGCCTAGGTGCTGTCTGCAGACCCTGTGTCCTCCTGCTGGCTCAGGAGTGGTGGCGTCTGTGCCCCCTTATGAGGGCTTCAGAGTCCAGGCCTGCGCTCTGGGAGCTGTGGCTCCTAGGTAGTTTGTTTCCATTACTAAGGAAAAGCTGTGGAAACAGCTCCAGAGAGCCTGCAATCTAAGACATGTGAGTGAGTTGTTCCTGAGTCTAACAGCAAGAACAACAACCAAAAAAGGGCGAATGTGGATTGATAAAGACTGAGTGGGACCTGGGAAGATAGCTCAGTAGAATAAGCGCTTGCCTGGCAAGCACAGGATCCTGAGTTCAATCCCCCGTACTACAAAAAAAAAGAGAAAAAAAAAAGACTGAGTGACAGCCTCCACTTCTGACAGTTTCCACAGCTGTGGAGCAGCCAAGCCATCTCAGCAGAGCCCTTATGCTAAGTGAGGAGTGGCTGAGGAAGTGGGTAACATGGTTGCCTCCAGAGCTGTGATAGTGGTCTCCAGGAGAGGAGGCTGAGTCAGTCTGCACTGTGTCCTTGAATGGGTCTGGGGGTGCCGTGAGCAGGGTGTGGTCTTGTAGGGAGGATAGAGAGGCCTGGAGTGGCCAGAGCAGAGATGGAGCCTAGCAGGCATAGATAAAGGGGAATGGAAGCCTTCTTGAAGTGGAAACCTGAAAGGCCTTTTACCCGAGGACAACAGTATTAACTCTAGAACATGGGGCCTGGACACAAACATTGAGGCACTGCCAGGCCCTGCAGAATAGCCGGAGGATGAGACAGATTAAGCAGCTGCTGGGGGTGTGGGGGTGGAGAAGGCCAAAAATGAGGTACCCACCCCAGCCAGAAGGAGAGAATCGAGAGGCAACAATGAGGGGCCACAGGAACACGGTTCCTCAGAGGCAGCAAGCAAGTATCTGCCACACAGGGATGTTAACAGAGCCATGCCTAGACATACCATGATGACATAGTGGCCACCAGAGACTGTGAGAAGATCTCAGGATGCCAGAGAGGCCGGGGCCACCAGGGTGTGAAGACAGGAGCCACAAGGACCAGGGCAGACCACGAGGGACGTGAGCACATGGAGGCAGTCACCACAATCTCCAAGGTGACATCAGCAAAGTACCCTTTCAGGAGGAAGAATGAATTAAAAAACAATTGAAAAACTGAGTAAACAACCAAGAGCATTTACTGCCCAAATCTTTGCTTATTATTATTATTTTTAAAATAGACTTGAAAGCCAAGCGTGGTGGCGCACATCCATAACCCCAGCTCTCGAATGGCAGTGGCTAAGGCCGGAGAATCACTGCAGGTTCGAGGCCAGCCTGGGATACATAGCAAAAGCCTGTCTTAAAAAAACAAAAACAAACACAATAGACTTGAAAATGAAGCATGGTGGCACACAGGTGTAACCCTGGCACCCAGGATTTGTGACAAGTGGTTCACCACATATTCAAGGTGAACCTGGACTGCGTAGCAAGATCCTGTCTCATAAAACTGGAAACAAAAAACCAAAAGAAAGGCCAGTGATATAAGTTTAGCTGCATAAGTGCCTCTCTGGCAAGCGCAAGGTCCCAAGTTCAATCCCTGGTACTGCAAAAAAAAAAAAAAAAAAAAAAAAAAGGTAAAAGAATAGATGAGTAAGAACAAAAATCTTCACCAAAGTAGGGTCTGCACTTAAAGAAGGGACAGCAGCCCAAGAAACCAGCCTGCTGGGAAATCTAAACAACTTTATGAAATAATAGTTGCCTACAGGGCTAAATTGTGTGTGCATGCCCACAAGCAGCCTTAAAAATGGTGCTCTTGGCGGTGCCAGCATGGGTGCCCCCCCAGAGTGGGTCTGAGGCCTGCCCTCCAACTGGTGCCAGGCCCCAGATTCATGTCACTGGGTCTCCTTTGGCGAGGACAGACAGCCCTGTTCAGTGGTGCTGCTGTGCCACAGCTTACTTTGCTCATGAGCCTGTTGGAGTCAGCACCCCTCTCAGAGCATGGTCAGAGCAGCCACCCCCGAGCACTCGCCGTGTGGGTGCACCTCACTGTGCTGGACAGCTGCCCTCACCCTTCCTGTCCCAGCCTGGTGGCAACTATCTACCCTTATCCTCTGGATGCATCAAGAGGCTTCTGTAGTCTGTGGCCTCCTGGCACTGGGCAGTGTCCTCAGGTGCTCTATGGGGCAGTGTGTCCTACATAGCACCCTTGTTGGGGACCTGCATTGACCGTCTGGTTATCAGTAGGGACACGGGGCTATTCCCATCTTTGGTAGATGTGAGTACAGTGTAGATTTTGGTGTGAACACACTCACTGAGCCATGAATGTCAGGAGTTTGTAAACCTCCTGTCAAGAGCTACTGTCTCTTTCCCAAAGTGGCTGCACCCCAGTGTCCCCTTCAAGAGGAGCACGTCACCAGGCCACAAAGAGGCACTGTGGCTCTGGCCCCATTCTCCTCACATCCACTCTTGCTGCTGCCATTCTTGGAGCTATCAGCATTGCCTGCCTCTTCTCCAAGGCAGTGCTCAACTGACTCTGTGATGGTGACATTGAGGAAGGATGGATTGGAACCAGAACTTTCAGGACTTTTAGGACTGTGGTCATGTGGTGCTGGTGCTGGCTGGTGTGCATGGCCCTGCTTGGTGCGGACCACACACCAACACCCGCTCGCCTGAAAGGAACTCGTATACATTCGGCTCCTTGCTGGGCAGAGATGCATAACCTTTCACCATGAACCTCCTCAGACCAGAGCTCCTCATGAAGAGACCACACATAGGCTGTGGACCCCAGCAGGATAGTGATGGACACAGGGCTGTCAGGACAGGTGGCCACCCATGTGCCAGCATCTGCAGCCCTTGGGCTGGAGCCCAGGGGCTGTGGAACAGATGCCCGCATCAGCTGGGAGGGCAGGCTGCAGTGCGTGGGCTGCTTGGCACACAGGGCTCTGTGCCTGTGCGGCAATGGGCAGCATGACTGGCCCTCCAACAGACCAGCCCGAGGCTAAGCAGGGTTCATGTAGCTCAATGGCTTTAAATTTGCAAAAGTTTGCCCCAGAACATAGCACTTAAGGAATCATGAGAGCAAGCCTCCCCGTGATCCTAGGACGTAACTCTTCCTAATGTTTCCAGCCATTAATCCCAGGTGACAGGGCCAGTCCTTGCCCACATAGCTGTTGGTAACCAAATGGCCTGCCCTTGGGCACAGCGCCTGAGGACCAGCAGTCACCTTAGGAACAGGGAGGGCCTCTGCCCCTTCTGGCTTGTACCAAGAGTATCCAGAAAATTTATTAGCCACAAGCCCTAGAGACTCACTGCTGGCAGAGAACTCTGCACCTGTCCCCAGTGAACATCCCCAGCACGCCCAGTACCTGGGGACCAGATGGTAGGTAGTGCCGCACCAACACCCTTGCCCATTGCCTGCAGAGTTGGTGATGCTGCTGGAGTGGTGGTCCTGCACCGAGTGCACACTCTTCACCGACCAGGCCACTGTGGACCACTTTGGGAAGGAGCACGTGGTTGTCATCCTCAACCACAACTTCGAGATCGACTTCCTATGTGGGTGGACCATGTGCGAGCGCTTTGGCGTGCTGGGGGTGAGTGAGCTGAGGCAAGCCCAGGCCTCTGGGCTCCTTCCTTGGAGATGTCTGAGCCCACTTCCTCATGCTGGGTGTTGCGGGGGGGGGGGCTGCTTTGCAGGGTTCAGGGTGCCCCCTACCATCCCCAGGCCCCCTGTGGCCTGGCTGTGCCACCATGCTCTACCTCTGAAGGAAACTGCCCTCCTCCTCTCACCCCCAGAGCTCCAAGGTCCTGGCCAAGAAGGAGCTGCTGTACGTGCCCCTCATCGGCTGGACGTGGTACTTCCTGGAGATTGTATTCTGCAAACGGAAGTGGGAAGAGGACCGAGATACCGTCATAGAGGGGCTGAAGCGCCTGGCTGACTACCCTGAGTACATGTGGGTAAGTGTGTCGCAGGCAGTTGCAGATGTTGGTTGGTCTTGATTTGACTGTGATATCCAGAAATGGAGCTTCCTTGGACTCCGTGTCCCTGTCCCCACCACTAGCAGCAAACAACCAAGTCTTGGGGGTAAGGGAGAGCAGGTGTGTGAGTGTCCTGTGCCACTGCTAGTGACCTAATGTGTGTCTAACTAGCTTTTGAGAATCTCTCTCTATAGCTCAGGTTTCCAGTGCCCAGGATGTAGGGACCAGATAGCCTCGCTCTGCTGTCCCTCAGTGGTCAAGGCTGCAGCTCAGAGACACAGTCAAATCTCCCCTCTCCTGAGGGTTCTTTCCAGAGAACAGTTCTGGGGGTGGATTTGTGAGCCTAATGCTAATCTCAGCCCTGAAATGAAACAGTGCTAAAGCTCCTGCCCCTCTGTATGGCTCTGTGAGTCCGAAGTTGCTGTGTCTCTGGGCAGCACATCAGCTCTCCCACAGGGGCTCTGGCTGCAGCCCATGGGCCCTAAGGTAACCCTGTATCTCTGTATCCCTCCAGTTCCTCCTGTACTGTGAAGGAACGCGCTTCACAGAGACCAAACACCGTGTCAGCATGGAGGTAGCCACCTCCAAGGGACTGCCGCCGCTGAAGTACCACCTGCTGCCACGGACCAAGGGCTTTACCACGGCAGTTCAGTGCCTGCAAGGGACAGGTAAGGGCCACAGGGGCCACACCATCTCCCAGGTTCCTGTGAGCCACAAGAACTAAAATTGCACCAGGTGTGGTGGTACACACCTACAATCCCAGTACTCAGACTGAGGCAGAGAGATCATTATGTGTTCAAGGCCAGCCTGCACTACATAGAAAGACCCTATCTTTAAAAAAAAAAAAAAAGAACTAAAGTTCCTTAAAACATCTGTATCAATGCTGTGTAAGATTAGGTCATCGAAGCATGGAGGGAGAGCAGGGGAATGGAGTGACCATAAGTACTTGGGACAGTTTTTAATATGATAAAGCATTAACTAGCGGGAGATAATTTATGGTAAAAAAAAATACACAAGGATGAAGGATACAGTAAATGTTTAAATTATTTAAATTGATCAAAGTAAAACACTTACTGCCATGAGCTCTCCTTAAAATCCTCCCCCTCACTTCACACTCATCCTGTCATTCCTGCCACTTCCTGCAGCAGCTGTGGACTCCTCTTTCCTGATTGTCCTTAACTGAGCTGTCCTGGCTGCCTCAGTGTCCTGAAAACATTTCCTTTTCATGGTCATTTTGACTTGGGAGAGGAGCTGGGGGTCACACGGTACCAGATCTTGTGAACCAGGTGGCTGAGGACTCAGCATTGAGTCCTTACGAGCTGCCTTCCCCTTGGGTAGTGTACCACAACAGCAGTCACCATATTTTTTATCATCTTCATTAAGATACTCGGGAAACAGGACTCCAGAGATCTTGCAGAGAGTGGCAAGGAGGATGGCATAAGAATATCTGAAGCACGGGGAGGATTCCTGATGATATGTCTTTTACTGTAACAACTTTTAAAACATATAATGGAAAATGTCATAAAGGAAAATGTGGGGCTAGGAAGAAAGCTCAGCAGCATAAGTGCCTGCCTGCAAGTGCAAGGTCCCAAGATCGATCCCCTGTACTGCAAAAAAAGAAAAAAGAAAATGTGATAACAGATACATGTAACTAATCTGAAAGGAGCCAAAAGAAAGTGGAGCACACAGAGGCCAAGCAGAGAATCGAGGAGACAGTGGACTCATGTACACATGAGCAGACATGGATCACACAGGAACTGCATGCTGTAGCTGCCCAGTGAGAGCTGGTGACTAAGGACACCTGCTGAAGAGGCTGCTCATCTGTCTGTTTTCTCTTCCCTGTAGTGGCAGCTGTCTACGATGTGACCCTGAATTTCAGAGGAAACAAGAACCCGTCTCTACTGGGAATCCTCTATGGGAAGAAGTACGAGGCGGACATGTGTGTAAGGTGAGCACTGCTCTCTGGCTGCTGACCCTGGAGCACAGAGCCTCACCTGCCACAGCACTGAGGCTGTGTCCCTCCCACCAGGGCTGCTGGCTCTCGTCCCCAGCCGGGAAGCAGCACAGACATCTGACAGGTACCTGAGGTGGCCCAAGTTACTCCATGTTTTAGTCACTTTCCTCCTCACTGAGACTCAGTCTCCAGCAACACCGCCAACTCCAAGGAGGAAAGGATCATTGCGGCTCTCAGTTGGTAGAGGTTTCAGTCCATGGCCAGTTGGCTCCGCGGTAGGACAGCATGACTGCTCACACTGTGGTGGACAGGAAGCAGAAAAGGGAGGACCCAGAGAGGGAGGTAGACTCTTCAGGCCATGCCCCCAGTGGTGCCTCTTCCAACTCGACCCTGCCTCCTAACAGCAAGCCAGCCTTGAGCTCCATGTCCAGTCATCTCCCAAAGTCCCACCTCGGAGTACATGAGGCTTTGGGGGACATCTACATAAAACCAGGATACCCCAAGAGGCAGATGCTCAGGCCAAGCCACTGAAGGCAGAACCAATGGAACTCCCATGTGTATTCACTTATCTGGTCCTTCTTATGTTTGCTTTTTATACATTATGCATATGCATGAGACCTGTGTGCACATATGGTATGTGTGCTACATACACATGGTGTTTGTGTATGGTGTGTGGTACACGAGTTTGTGGTATACAGCTTGTATGTGTGGTATACATCAGACATGTGACATGGGTGGGGCTTGTTGATATAGGGTCCAGTTGTGTGTATGTAATATGTGGGCTATACCACATGTGTGTGTGTGTGTTTTCCTAACACATGTGCATATGTAACTTACCACACACGAGGGGCTAGCAGTGGAGCAGGCCTGAGCCATGCAACCCCACCCGGAGATCCTAGACCCAAGGATAGCCCTGAAGGCCGAGAGCTATGGTACTGCAAGGCAATCCGCACTCTCGCGCCCCCTCCTGGCTATCCTATGGAAGGGCAGCTTCTCAATGGCTGTTTCTCGCTTTTTGTTGTTTTTAAGCCTATGCTACAGTGATTCCTTTGTCCTCATAAAAGTCCACTATAAGCCTGATGGCTCTCTAGGCTGCCGCGCTGTTTGCGTGGTGGCCAAGGGCTGCCGTAGCATAGATGACTCTTCACAGCCATAGCAGAGTCTAGGGTCAGAGCCAAGCACCAGCCATTGAATCCCTTGCTCAGTCTTGAGGTGACAGAGCTCTTGGGAGGGGCAGGGATGTATAGGCTCTGAGCATACCAGGAGAGGGGCACTATGTGTGGTGGGCAGAAGCCATATTTGTCACAGCTGAGGCCTGGGAAGGCAAGTCTGAGTCCAGGTCTGTCTCCCTTGGCGACTGGGTAGACTTGGGTGTGAACTGCGATCCGCTGTTGGGCACACTGGGCTCAAGTGTCTCCATTTCTGGTGTCTCTCACATTTGCAGCATGTAAGTTTTTGGTTTTCTCTGCAGCAAGTAGATTTTTTTTCACCCCCCCGGAACCAGGGATTGAACTTAGGCCCTTGCACTTGCCAGGGAAGCGCTTATTCCACAGAGCCATCTCCCCGGCCCCTAGCAAGTAGATTTTGAAGGACATGCTCAGTCATGATTACTTCCAAGGAATAGGTGGTTGAGCAGGGCTGTCCTGCAGTGCTACTCCTGTGCATCCCCGGATGTGTGGTGTCTCCCAGGATGTATAGGGGCGCTGGCAGTGCCTTCCAAGCTCCACTGTCAGGGAGGGGGCACTGAGGGGAAATCACCTTGCTACTTGTCTGTTTTAAAAGCAGAGAGTGAGGCCAGAGTAGAGCACACACCCGCTGCCCGTACCCTCACCCCCTGTGAGCTGCTGCAGACTCACCTTGCTCTTGGTCCTCTGTGCTACAGGAGGTTCCCTCTTGAGGACATCCCACAGGACGAGCAGGAGGCGGCACAGTGGCTGCACAAGCTCTACCAGGAGAAGGTAATGGTGCTGCATCCCCATGCCCCATCCCTTGGGCAGATTTGGGGGAGGCAGCGCATGTGTCTCCCCGACCTGACACAGCACCAGAAGGGCCTCACATGCTTGTGATCCCCTCCTTTCGTCTCTTCTTCTTAATGTTTGAGAAGTGAACACTGGGGGAAAGTATGAAGATGACATCAGCATACTGATAACAGGGTCACATCTGTGTCTTGGTTATAGACAAGAAGTAATGGGTGTGGAGCAGACATTGCCTAGATATGGGGCAGACACTGGTGCTGTGGGTCTGAGGTAGAAAGTGCTAGACATTTTCACAAAGCCATGGCCTGCTCTCCACACTCCCATCTACTCCAGCCTATTTTACACTCACAGCCATGCGACATGGGCTTCTGCTTCCAGCACCAGATAACCAGAAAGTCTTTGCTGCAGATAACACACACCCTTTTAGAGGCTTTGGTGAGCGAGAAAATAGAGCAACCTCCAGAAAACCAAGCAGGAGCTGGGACCCACACTGGGTGATAGCCTGCCAGGGATGTTGGCTGGTCCCCTTAAAGTCAAATCAGAGTTGTGACACCTCACTGGAAGCAGCAAAAGATAGGAAGGTGCATACAGAAGCCCACACAGAGATGGGCCCTCCTGCAGCATGAATCTCAGAAGGCTGAGCCATCCCCTGGGCTTGGGGGCCTCTGCCCTGACTCAGCTGCCACCTGCCCTTGAGGACTCAGAGTTCACACCTGTGAACTCTGTTCATGCTAACCTCAGCATGGACATGAGCAGGAGACTGGAATGGTTACCAGCGCCACAGGGAGAAAGCAGCACAAAAGGCAGGGCTTCAGCACTGGTGCTTGGGCTGGGCTGTAGCAAGCACCTTAACACCTATGGGACATTGGAGGCCCAAGCCCTTCCAGGCTGGCCAGGAAGTGGCGTGCAAGTAGGAAGATCCTCTAAGAAGGATCTGGAGGACAGCAGACAGGAAAGGAAAAAACAGGACGGGAGGAGAGAAGAGGAAGAGAGGGAAGGAGAGACATGCTACCCTTCCCTCTCTTGGTGCAGCCTTGGGCACTGTGGTTCACACGGTGCCTGCCACAGATCTATCCATCCATCACTTCTCCCCCACAGCTGTAGATTTTTTTATCCTCTTAGCAACCACACACTTGTGCGTGCACGCGCACACACACACACACACACACACACACACCAGCAAGCTCTGCTGGGCCACCTGCTGGGCCCCTGGGCTCCCCAGAGACTCCAGCTCAGCCCAAAGTGGCTGAGAGTACAGGTACAGGGCACATGTTCACCCAGCAGGGGTAGTTGTTTGACCAGATACTAAAGCTACAGGAAAGAAAGCATTTTCTCTAAAAGTATTAAAATAAGAAGCCTTGGGCAAGGCAAGTTAATTTTGAAAAGTGATGTCCTTAGTGGGGAAATAATATACAGCTCATATCACTAACCAATTCCATGTGTTTGCCGACCTTGATAAACTGTGTGAGCTCTTTCTGTGTGCCTCCACAACAAAGTCAGTATGGAAGGACTTCGGTTAAAGCTGTCTGTGACACAGCTCAGCATCATACTGAATGGGGACAATGAAAGCGTACCCCTAAGACCCGGAGAAAGAAGGATGCTGCTGCTTACCTTGCTGTGCACAGTGCTGGAGGCTTAACTGGAGCATGGACAGGAGAGGGAGCAGAGGACCACGAATGTGGAAGGGAGAAAGTCACACTGCCCCTGTTTGCAAACATGGTCTCATGTAAAAAAAACATAAAAGCTCTACTCCAAAACTGTGAGACAATCAGAGAAATTCACTTGGAGGACATGAGATCCTGCACAAAATCCAGTGGTCTAAGTTTGCATACCAAAATTAGAGAAAAAGGAGGGCCTCAAGGAAAGTCAACATTTTGACCCTAGCCTTCGAAGGTCAACTAAGACTCAGGACATATGAGAACTTGTACTGTAATGTCACATAACTAGGTAGTGTCCCAAATTTTCTGATCAAGGAGATTATGGGGCCAAAGAGGAAAGTGATCGATGATATAGAGTGTGCCTAAGGAGAGTCACATGGAGAGAAAACATTCTCTCAGGCTTTCACAGAGAGCACATTGGCCAAGCAATGGCCGTGACTCATCCACATGGCTGACACTGACAAAGATTCTACAATCTGAGGTACAGGATCTCAGGATAAATCCTGAGGGGATTTCACTGACCTTATCAGATCCAAAAGCTACAACTCTTGTTGTATAGGTCTTGCTTTATCTTGATCTTTACCATCCAGCAGAAAAGTATAAAAACTAAGTATAAGAAGTAAAGTCATGCTGTTATGTTGAGCTGTAGGGGACTCAGGTCAACAATTTCTGACATTGCCCGTTAAGCGGAAGACTCAATACTATTATGGACTATTAGACTCTTTTAGAATATTTTGCTGAGTTAACACACCTATGATATTCAAATGACGGAACTAAACAAAAAAGGGAATACAGATGAATGTCCATTTTGTATCTGTGTATTCAAAATGGTTAGGATAGATATATAGTTACATTCTCTTAGTGAATAGAGGGATTTGTTCTAATAATGTTTGTAAATAGGATATCATGTCTGCATCTTGAGTGGCAAATAACCACTAGGAAGAGAGTATGCAATGTGTTAATTATTGAAACTGTCTTACCAATTTGATTTGAAACTGTCTCATTGCTATTTGTTTCTCAATAAAATTATGGAAAAAAAATTTAAAAATGAAGAAAAAAAACCAAACCAAAATCCAGTGGTGTTTCCACACACCAACAATGAACAGGAAATCAAGAAAGCAATCCTGTTTACAATAATTACATAACAAAAAGAGTCAAAGTCCGGCCTAGGAGTAGACTTAACCAAAAGGATGAAAATATCTGCATTGAAAGCTAGAAAACATTGATAAAAGAAATTGAACATACACATACAAAGGAAAACATCACATTCTTGTAGACTGAAAAATTTTAAATGCATATGGATCCACAAAAGACCCCAAATAGCCAAAGCAATCCTGACCAGTAACAGAGCTGGGAAAATCACAATACCTGACTTCAAAACACTGTACCAAGCCATCGTAACTAAAGCAGATACAGAGACCAAGGGGATATTTTCAGCCAACTGGTGGGTAACGAAAGTATCAAGAATAAGTACGGGAGAAAAGTCAACCTATCAGTAATGATGTTGGTGAAACAGGGCGCATGGGTGCAGAAGAGGAAGACTCGTCCTACACACTGATCAAGTAAAGAACTCAAAGGCCCAGATGTAAGCCCTGAAATGATGAAATTGCTACAAGAAAACTTGAAGATGCTGGTGTGGGCAAAGATTTTGAGATCCAACCATGAAAGCAGAAGAAACAAAAGCAAAAATTGACAAATGATATCAGGTCAAATTTAAAATCTTCTGCCCTGCAAAAGAAACAACCCACAGAATGAAGAGATAACCACAGGATAGGAGAAAATATTTGTAAAGTATTCATTTGCTAAGTGATTAACGTCCAGAGGGACAAGGAACTCTAATAACTCAACCACAAAAACAGTCCAGTTTAAAAATGGGCATGGGATCTGAATGGACATTTTTCAAGTCAAGATATACAAATGGCCAATGAGTATATGAAAAAAAAGTGTTCATTGTAATGAACCATTGGAGAGAGGCCAATCAAACCAAAATATCATCCTCTCTATTACAATGTCTGTAGTCAAGAAGACAAATCAAAAACAACAGCATCAAAAAGACAACATACAAAAATAAACGCTGGCAAGAATGTAGAGAATGGGGGGCTCCTCCACACTACTCAGGGGTGCAGATTAGTGTGGGCATTATGGAAAACCATGTAGGGCTCCTGCAGAGGTAGGAAACAGCACCGGGCATACAGCTGTGCTGCCAGGGTGATGCTTAGCAGGCTGATGCCTAGGATTTAGAGCCCGGCACATGTGCGCACACACATACCTAGAAGTGGACTTGGCATTGTCTGACCTCGCTGTTCCTTGCTGGATATTCATCCATAGGAAACAGTATGTGGAAGCAACAGCAGTGCCCCCATGTTTGCTGCAATACCAGTCACACCAGCCAGGTCAGAATCGACGTTGGTGCTACTCAAGAGCTGAGTGAGGAAAGCACAGCAGTGACACTGTTTGGTCATTAAAAAAATAAAATCCTGTCATTTGGAGTAACATCGGTGGAATGTGAGGATGTAATGTTAAGTGAAATAAATCAGGCACAAAAAGACAAACACTCCATGTCCTCACTGCCATGTGTAAGCAAAGAAAAGACTAGGTCATACGAGCAGAGTAGAACAGCAGCTGCCAGGGTGGGGGCAGCGGGCACAGAGACACAGGGCACAGGGTCAGAGAAGCAGATGAACATCCCGCCTTCTGAAGCACCGTGGAGTCAAGGCCGGTGGCTAGTGGACTGCCATTAGCTATGCATTTCAAGACAGCTAGTAATGAGGATGTTGAATGTGACTGATGAAAAGAAATGACAAATGTGGAAGGCAGTAGGCACAGCAAGTTCTTGATCTAAATGTCTCACATGGTCCACATGTATTGAGGTGTCACTGAGCCACTGATGTCACTGTTACTGGGTGGAGACAGCGACATTCTGCTGACCAAGTGCAGCAAGTGACAGGCTTCGACGTAACTGACTGATGTGGGTTTTTTGTTTTTTTTTTAAACTTTATGTCCTATATTTTCCTACAGTGTAGAAATCTAAGGTCTGGCATGGTGGTGCATGTTTGAAATCCTAGCACTTGTGAGGCTGAGTCAGGAGGATCCTTGCAAGTTTGAGACTAGCCTGGGCTAGAAAGTAAGCTCAAGACCAGCCTGAACTACATAGTGAGACCCTGTCTCAAAAAAAGAAAAAAATATTATAATAAGGCATCTTTGATTGTTTTGCAAATCCTCATTTTTACATTTGCACTTAGGATATCAGTTTGCATGTGGTATCCTTCTGTTTCTAGTCACTGTTCTCTTCAAGATCTGTGCACAAGGGCATAAGTTTTTGTGGTTTTTTTCCCCATAATTTTATTGAGAAACAAATAGCAATGAGACAGTTTCAAATCAAATTGGTAGGACAGTTTCAATAATTAACACATTGCATACATTCTTCCTAGTGGTTAATTGCTTTACAAGATGCGGACATGATATTCTATTTACAAACACTATTAGAACAAATCCCTGTATTCATTAAGAGAATGTAACTATGTATCTATCCTAACCACTTTGAATACACAGATACAAAATGGACATTCATCTGTATCCACTTTTTTTGTTAAGTTCCCGTTATTTGAATATTATAGGTGTGCAAACTCAGCAAAATATTCTAAAAGAGTCCAGTAGTCCCAATGGTATTGGGTCTTCCAACAATGTCAGAAATTGTTGACCTGAGTCCCCTACAGCTCAACATAACAGCATGGCTTTACTTCTTATACTTCGTTTTTATACTTTTCTGCTGGATGGTTAAGACCAAGGTAAAGCAGGACCTATGCAACAAGAGTTGTAGCTTTTGGGTCTGATAAGGTCAGTGAAATCCCCTCAGGATTTATCCTGAGATCCTGTACCTCAGATTGTAGAACCTTTGTCAGTGTCAGCCATGTGGATGAGTCACGGCCATTGCTTGGCCAATGTGCTCTCTGTGAAAGCCTGAGCGAATACAAGGGCATAAGGTTGATTCACACCATTGGCCCTGTGTTGTCCCCACCTGCTGTGGCACCCATTGGGTTACTCATTTCCTGTGAGGTTTTAGGTTATTCCCTGCCACTAACAAGAACTGGGTTGGTGTGATGCACACAGTGGCTGCTCTTGGCTACCAAGGCCCCCTGTGACATCCAGCAGCAAGCCCCTACCCCACGTTATACACTAAGAACCCAAGTGTACATACAGAATTAAATACAGAAAACAAAGTAGGAAAAATAAGAACGCATGGCTCCCCACTGCCTAGGCCATCATGGGCACACACTGTCTTTCTGAACACACATGTGTAGTCAGACATATTTTAAAGTGTCTGTAGGTCTGTGCTTCACCTTACCCTCTGTAGTCAACAGCCTACAGCTGTCACGTGCCTGTCTCTTCATTCACATCACACCAATGTGACTGGTGGGAGCTACCACATGACATCTGCAGGATTCCCCTTGGCCAGGCTCTTTGGACTGAGCATCCTCTTGCCCTTGGGAAGCTTCCAGCCACAGTTGCAAGTGAAAGTGACTCAGTCCAAGCCCATGGTGCCTTGCTAGTTGTGGTCCAGAGTTGTTGAGCTTGACAGAATTGCAGGTGTGACAGTGGCATGGCTGTACCCACTAGGCCCTGCCAGGCCCGAGCTTCAAACTACTCTGTTTCAGGGATGACAGTGTCTCCTGACTGAAGGTGGCACAGTCAGAGACCACGCCTTTCTGCTTCCCTGGCCACAGGACGCACTACAGGAGATGTACAAGCAGAAGGGCATCTTTCCAGGGGAGCAGATCAAGCCTGCCCGGAGGCCGTGGACACTGTTGAACTTCCTGTGCTGGGCCACCTTGCTCCTTTCACCCCTCTTCAGCTTTGTCTTGGGCGTCTTCGCCAGCGGGTCCCCTCTTCTGATACTCACATTCCTAGGGTTTGTGGGTGCAGGTAAGGGGCACAGCGGTTGCAGCTCAAAGTTGGGGACCCTGGTGGCTGAGACCATGCCGCAGTAGATGGAAGGCAGGGAGTTGTCTTGACCACAGGGTTATCAAGGGCCATGGTGTCTACCTGCTCGCAGCTGCTGGCCCTGGGAGGATGCTGTGGACAGGGTCCTGGGCACTCCATCATGTTTGGGCCTGCAGAGGGTCAGGATGTTGGCCCTAGTGCTGTCCCCTCTGTGTCCAGCCCTGAGCACAAGGCCAGGCTCCTGCTGAGCCCACATAGTCATCTGTGCTGCACAGACAGCACCTACTACATGTGTGCTGCTCGCTGCAGATGAGCCTTGCTGATGAGGGGATATTTGGGATGGACACACTGTCCACCATGTTGACCTTTGGTTCATTCCCAGCCCCACTCAACAGGCTTACACCGACAAGAGTATGTGAGAGGTTGCAAAGTCAACCAGGGCCATTGACCAAAAGAAACAGGATTCTGCATGTCCTGCTCAGCCATCTTGGCTACTCTGTCACCACCTCTGATGCCCTTGTGCATAGGAGATGGGCTGGCAGGAAACTCCTTGTGTCCCTGAGTCTACCTAGCTAGTAGAGAAGTGGCACCATTCCTGTCAGCCACTTGAGGACCCCACAGGATGCCCTGCCGGCCCTGGAGAAAGGGCCAGGGTGGAGGGTGGGAGACCATGCCTGGTGCAACATGGGGCTGGCAGTAGGTCTAATGCTTCTCTCTTTCCTGTCTTTGAAGCATCCTTTGGAGTCCGCAGACTGATAGGAGTGACAGAAATAGGAAAAGGGTCCAGCTACGGAAACCAGGAATTTAAGAAAAAGGAATAATTGATGGTTGTGATTGAATGCATATAACCTGACGTGGTATCCAATTAACTCAATTAAAAACAGAACAACACATACAGAGCAAGGAGAAAGAGACACTTAGAAACTATTTTTCTTATTAACTGGTGACTAATATTAACCAATAAAACTTGAGCCAAGAGCAAAGAACTGAGAAGGCCTGCCAGGTGAAGATGGCGCTCAGCTCCCATCGGGCAGGATCCCCTGCCCACCTGCCTGCCACGGACTGAAGCCCCAGAGGCCAACGTTCTGGGCTGTGCACCACAGTTGGCTCCTTGTGGGGTGTCACCGTCTCTCCAGAGCTCCGCTTCCAAAGGGGGCCTTTGGCTGCTTTCTCTTCTTAAACTTAGATGGAGGTTTTTGTTTTTATCGGTATTTCAGGAACTTAACCTGGCCCCTCAGCTCTTCCCCTGCGCCCCTCAACACTGGCTCCTTGTGAATCTTCTGCTGTCTCTGGGGTGGTCAGCACATCCCAGCCCCCAGAGAGCTGCTGTTCTCTGCTTGGCACCTTCACTTCCAGGCCCTGAGGCGGGGCTGGAGAAGTCCTGAGTGATAAGCACACACTGAATGTAAAGCGCACGCGTTTTGAGTGCATCCCGTCTGCCTCTCTGTCCCCTCATGATGGGGCTGGCAGAATCGAGCGCCTGTTTTGTTTTCTGCAGCCCTGCCCACCCTGCTTCCTGTTTAACTCTGTGTAGACATCTCGCATCTCTTAAAGTGAGTGGACCATGTAGAGATCATTGAACCCCAAGGTCTTCCTGCTCCCAGAGCCGGCGTCTCTCTCTTCCTCTCTCTTCCGCCACTGCGCTGGGGTCAGGTACAGGGGCTGCGGTTGGCAGGACCCACGGATTTTTTTGGAGAAGTAGTGGCACCAGTAAGTCCCTTTCTTCATTTGAGAGTGTCATCCAGAGACTGTCAATCTTGAGCCTGTGGGCATCTGGAGAGTTTTTACTTGGTTTGAGGATGGCTCACCACCTCCTGAGGAGAACAGGAAGTGAAGGTCTCCCTCCCTCACCCTCTGTGGGGCACAATGTGTCCTCAGGGAGGCTATCCCTGTCCAGACAGGTTCCTTGAGGCCCTGAGGCCCACTCCCCACCTCTACAACAGCCCTGCAGAAGACAGAGTGTCTCCATCTGCACTCAGTGTCTTCAGCAAAGTCCCTTGTCCCACCTGCAGATGTTTCTTCTGGCAGCATAGCTTAGCTTGGTATATGGTGGCTGCTGGACCACCTGGAGTAGTAGGCAGGTCTCTCCTGTGTTGGGCATCCATGCTGAGCTTCCCGCAGCCTCTTTATCATCACACTCCTGTCACCTTTAGCAAGGGGGAGATTTGGGTGTTCGCTGGCACGTGGAACCAGCGTTCTGAAGGTAGACAGATTGAGCCTCGGGAAAACCCAGCGGAAAGAGGCAGGAAAGTTACAAAGGAGATGGAGAAGTAGATTCTGCATAAGTCCTGGGTGTGTCAGGGACCAGGAAGGCAGCCTGGGGTCTGTGGAAAGGGGAGCAATGGGCCAGTCTCCATGGTCACAAGCTGTTCACAGGGGCAATGGCTGAGCATGATGCCTTGTGATGGCTTCACTGAGGAACACACTTTGACCTCTCCCTCCTCTCAGCACGGCCCCACAGGCCCCGGGTGCTGCGCCACCCAGGGTTTCCTTTCTTTTCCTCCCGTGACATGCTGTTCCTTGTCCTCTGTGTGCCCTGGCTCATGTCGTTGCTGAGTCACTAACACTGGGCGCTTGCAGCAGTGCAGGGCCACCATGCGCACTCCGGCCCAGCAGTGCATCTGGGCTTCTGCGCTGTGCGATCTGCAGCTCTGGCTTTCCCAGAGCCCCCTCCCCAGCTGACATGCGAGGGCTAAGCACTGCGCTGAAGATCAGGGCTTTACCCCTGAGACCCCTTATTCTGGCCCAGCTCTGCTAGCACCTTGACACCAAGCCTTCCAAGAGCAATAAAAACCACGCTGTGAATGTTTGGGCTTTTTTTTTTTTTTTTTTTAATGTGGGTGTGGGAGACGGTGGATTTTGCTTTCATCTGCTTCTGAAGAAGGGGGTAGGAGTGCTCCTTTGATTTTTAAATTAAATTCATATATGTCAGAATAGTGCTTTCTCTTTTCCTTTACCCCACTCCTGAATTGTGCGCTGCTGGCGTTCTGTTAGATTCAGGCAGTGTTGGGGCATTTTGACACCCTCCGCATATCTGTGCTGGCCACCATGGGACAACACTGTCCAGGCCTGGGGGCCAAGGCCTGAGCAGAGAAGTGGGCTGGTCCTGGGGCTTCCAGGAGACTCCTAGGACCCCAGGCCCTGCCCTTGGGTGCCCTATCTGGGACATGGTCTCCTGGGCCACTCACCACCTGCCTGTGTCTTCTGACACAGTCCCAAGCCAGGTGCCTTGGGGTCCCACCCTCCCTGAGGGCTTGTCCATTGTCCTCATGGTCTTCCCACACTGTGTCTTGGCTGTGGTTCTCCCAGTCAGCTCACATAGACTTGGCTGGGCCTGTGTGAGCTGAGGGAGAAGCGGGGTTCTGCCGGGGCCACTGGAAGTTGCTAGGCCTCCCACATGTCTGCAGCATTTCCCAGTGCCTTCTGGCTTCTAGGGACCTGTTCTGTCTTGGGGCCTCTTTGAACATGGTAAGGAGGCAGGCGGGAAGCTGGGAGGACACTGAGTGGTCAGAGAAGGCATTTCCTACATCAGGGACTGTCTTTCTCAAAGTAAGGCCTCAGGAAAGTCTGAAACGGCTACATACTGAGAAGGCTTTTGACCCAGAGACAAAAAAGCCCTGCTGACTGGCACTGGGTGATGGCACACCAAAAACAGCTCTCTTCCCTCCTGAGAGGCACAAAGGTCCTTGCCCTCAGGCATAGAGCCTGGTTGAAGAGCTGAGTGCTGTGTGTATAAACCAACACTAACACACAACAGCAATGTGAGCAACCCTTGTTTGTAAGAAGTAACGCAGGTGTAAGCCTGGCTTGTCTCCCGCTCTCGGGCCATGCACCATGATGTAAAAGCATCCCTCCATTTAGCTGGCCAAGGTGTCCCTGAGCACTGGTGTCAACCTGCAAAGCCTGAGATGCAGTGGTGACCCAGCTTCGAATTGCACCCACAGCAGACCATGCACTGTCACGAGGCCATCCATAAGCATCCTGATGGGTTTGGGACAAGGAACAAGTGGCTCTCTGCATGTGGCTTTGTGTCTGCCGAAGACATAAGACAAACCCAATATAACCTCTCCCGCCTGCCAACTTCCATTCAGCTGCCTGTCTCCTGCCCCAGCAAGCCGCATGCAAGCCCTGGCATGCGACAGGAGGTGCCCAGCAGGGTAGTGTAGCCTCTGGCCCCTCCGCAGCATAGCTGGTCTCAGGGCAAACCTTCGAGCCAGAAATGCCTGCCTTTCTTCTAGAAACAGCACATCTCAGCCTTTCTCTAATGGCCACCCCAAACCAAAGGCAACCTGCCCGTAGCATCCTGGTCCTGGGGCCCACAAGAGGGAGTGACCCACAGACCTGGGCTCTGGCTTTGGGCCAGAGTCCTACTGTGGGCTGTCAGAGCGGGTGCTGAGCCTTGGACTTCTGACTCTCTCATATTGGGGCCAGGATTCAAAAACACAGGGACAGTTTGGGGTATAGTGTCACAGTATGATCTGCCTGACTTCCTAGGTGGACCCATGAATTAAATTTATGTCAAGTACGTGCTGCTTGTCAATTCAAGGGAAATGTGGTATTCTCACAGACTGTGTCAGAGCCCAGGAAGTCACCATGGATGCCAGCCCAGTCCATCCAGGCAACATGGCAGTATCTGCCCAGATGGCTGAGTTGTGGCAAATCTTCAGTCTTTGCACTAATGAGGTCATCTGAAGCTTTTGTTTCTAACTTTTCAGTTTCCTAACTTGCTGTTGCAAAAGTACTGGACAGAAGTCGAACTGTGAATGAGACACTGAAATGCACTAAATTGTATTAAATTAAACTGGAGTTACTTGACCGGTGAAGAAATGCATCCGATCTACTTGTATTTATTGTCTCAGAATTGTACGTTGTGACAATCAAATGTTGTTTGCCTCAAAGCCAGGAAACTCAACTGGCTTCATCATAGAGCTCGCCAGCACATACTGTAACTGTACACAGACAGCTTTCTCTGTAAAACCACACCATATTCCTAGTGCCGCCCATGACAGAAGTTAGGTTCTTTTTCTATTACTGAGAAATCACCATACCTGCTGGCCAGTTTTAAAGGGACACATTGTATACAGGGTGCAATGTATTATACAGCTGCTTCCTTTTGTACTCTTCATTTTTACAAGTTTTGCTACTCACAAGCTTTATAGAGTGGAGAGGGGAGGTGCTCTGCTGGGAGCTGGTGGTGACCTTGTAGGCCGGTGTCCCAAGGAGCGGCTGTACCAGCTGCTGTGCAGAGCTCCCTCCCACTCGGCCACAGTGGGGAGCGCGCACTTGGTGTTATTTTCTGGGTAAGATGCCCCAGGCATCACATTTGTTTGTTAAAAATGCTGCTGTGAAAGAGAGGAATGAAATGTCCACAATATAAGAGAAGGTGACTCTTGGCCTCCTTTTGTTTTCTTTCTGGTCTATGTGGACTTTTGGGGGGACTTTTCTCTGGGGAATAACCATGACCACCTCCCAGGTCCTGACCTTTTGGAGGTCTCAACCTGCCACCTAAGCTCCTGATCCTGAGCCTGTGTCTTCTGGAAGGAGCTGAGGAGACCTGGCAAAAAGCATAGAGGCTCAGCTGGCACAGGAAATGTACTGAGTAACCCACATTCAAAGCCAGGCTTTCATTCAAAGCAGGCATATGTAGGCCCAAACCTTAAAGGCAAATTCTACTGAGAAAACCAAGGAGTCCCCCTTTCTGCTTTTTTAAAAAGAATAAAAACAAAAACTTTGTTAAAATAAAGGATATTCCAGGTTCTTGTCTGTTTGTCTGAGGAAATAAATTGTGTGAAAAGAATCCTGGCACCTCTTACTCCCAGGAAGGACCGCAGATGAGGGGCTTCTTTCTGCTTGGAGGCTGCCTCCAGGGCAGCACTGGGGGGCTAGGCTCAGTCAACACATGTGTTCACACATGCACCTACCTCCTGCACACACAGGCGCTTGTGCCAGGCATACTCTGTGGTGGAGTGAGGTGTGGTCCTGCAGGAACCATCCTGTGAAAAAGTGGCCCTGTAGACACCTTGTTTTCACATGTCTTCCCAAAGAGGATGACAGAGTGACTACTTCAGTGGGGTTTGCAGAGAGAATAGCTTCTCTGAGAAATTATTTCCCCACCCGTGGAACTTGATGGAGAAACCAAAGGTTCTGTGACATCTCTGTGGAAGCTGGCCGTGCCTTTGAACCTTGTTTTGCTCTTAGACATAAGCTTCTACTCTGCCCAAGACCTGCACCTAAGCTGGGCCAGTACTGGGGAAGGGTCACACACCAGCTTCCAGTCCTGCCCATGTCCTGAGGGGCCTCTGGAGGTGCATGCACATACATGTGCATACCAGGACATATGAGTGCACTTATGTCAGCAAATGTGTTCCCTGAGTCCTGAGCCATGGGCAGGGGCATCAGGGTGGACCCCAGAGACACACTTGCCAGACTCTGGGCCACAGACCTGGCCAGTGTCAGCTTATAGTACCTTCTGGGGTGAAGTTGCTCCAAAGTATTGGTCAGGCATGGGAAACACTGTGAAGGTCACCAGTCACAAATTTGAATTCTCCCCAAAGTGGGCTCCTTGGCCTCATAGGACCTGCCAAGGCCCTAGGCTTACACCTCTGTATAAACCTACTCAATCTGTGACAGCTGACAAACATATTTCTGGGGATAGGAAGGTATAGGGAGGTTTGGATTCTGGGATCTGAAGGCCTCTGGATTGGAATCCTAAATATACTCCTTGACAACATTAGGATATTATCCTAGGTTGCAAAGTGGGAACAGTCATCAGGGAGACTAGTGTGTGTCAAGAGATGGGGACTCAGCAGGCATCAACAGTAGACCTTGCACACCTGCACCCAAGGACCCAGTGGTCTGTCCTCAGCACCTTGCCTGTGTCAGGCACTATGGGAGGATGGGCAGAGTAGACCCCATCAGAAGGCTTCTTCCTGTGTGAAGCCCACTGTCCCCAAGGAGGAGAGGACACACTGGTACCAGAGAACACCCCATGACAGCCCCTAACTACGTCTTTCTCTCGGAAAGATGAACACTATTTTTCTAGAAAATTGGGCTATTTATTCAATGTTTTTTTCCTCATTGTGTAAATTTGCTTTACACAAATCTATTTTGGTGCTATTGAAGTAGTATGAGCTCCCCCCACCAGTTCCCTCCTTCCCTCCCTCTCCCCCTCTCCGAAACCCATTTTTGTTTTGCTGTATTTGGCATAATTGCTATTCCCAACTCCCTTGTCCCAGCATCTGTCTGTCTGTCTGTCTGTCTGTCTGTCTGTCTGTCTGTCTATCTATCTATCTATCTATCTATCTATCTATCTATCTATCTATCAGCTGTCTATCTATCTGTCTATCATCTATCTATCTATCTATCTATCTCTTTCTTTTTCTTTCTCTTTCTCTTTCTCTCTTACCCTCCTTCCCTCCTTCCTTCTTTCTCTTTCTGTTTTTTGAGACAGGGTCTTGCTATGTAGTTCAGGCTGACCTTGAGCTCACTTTGTAACGTGGGTTAGTCTCAAACTTACAATGATTCTCCTGCCTCAGACTCCCAAATGCTGAGATTACAGGCATGTGCCACCACACCTGGCACTCAGTGCTTTCTTAGCCATGTGCTTCCTGTATTTGTCCATGGCTTTTTCACAAAGCAGACTGCACGAGTATGGTGACCAACAGCATCTGTCCCACCCAGAGCAAGACTAGGGGAGGACATGTTATCCACATGGGGATGTCACACCAAGGAGCCCAATGTAGCAAAAATTGGCCAGAACCAATGTTGCAGGAAGGCCAGGTCAAGCAGCCAGACAACCCAGAACTATGATGACCACCTTGGAAATGTGTGAAGCAGAGAAAATGGGCTCTTCAAACGTCTCCGTAAGTAACAGAGCCCAGCCCTCTATGGACACCTGTCTGTCCCCAAGAGTCCCCTTTGGCCTCTCCTACATCCTTGTCACTATTTCAGGACCAGAAATGCTTCTGGTATGTGATTTCTTCAGAGTCTGCTTTCAACTGTATCTTAGCTTCCTAACCAATTCCCAGGACAGCGTAACTCTATGGTCAGACCTACTTCCCAGGACTTGGTAGGAAGCCTGACCCACCACACAGAGTTGGATTTGATACTTGAGATCTCATTTCCTCTCAACCAGCCACATTGGGAATAAACTCTCTCTATGGCAAAGCCCATCACCACAATAGCTGGCACCCTGTGGCAAGCAGGCCTTCTGGTAATAATCTTAGGGTAGGAAAAGTCTGTTTGTGGCTGTAGTTTGCCCTTTCCTGTTCACTGAGAAGCCATTTGAGACAGGAGAGAAAAGCCTGACACTACCAGGTTTTCTTCTTCTGTGGTTGACCCAGAAGCCTCAGAGCCAGCCTGACTGTGCCAGGCACAGCAGGCTCCAGACCCAGACCTCTCCCAGGTGACCCCATCCTGCAGCCTCCCTGGATGATTGCAACACTCTCATCCCTCCTTGGTTGGATATGTGAGGAGCCCCTCCCCTACCACAACCAAACAGGTCTGACACTGCATGTACAAGCTCACCTTTCCCCTACATCAGCAACGTCCCCAAACATAGGTTCAAACCACACACCGTTCCCTCTTATGCTGTATCATAAACCCTACTGAAGCCTTTTCCAGCTGACATGTTTCTGCCTCTTCCTGATTTCTGTCTCAGGCAGAGTGTGCTGACCTGGCACATTAACCTCAAAGTTCATTACTGGCACCAAAGGCCACTGCAGGTAGCTGTGAAGGTGCCAAGCAAAAAAGTCGTTGGGAGCTGCATTCTCCAGTGCCAGAAGAGTACCCATGGCTTGCCAGTAGCTGCTAATACAGGTGGCAAAGAGGACTTCTCATTGTGTAAGAGTTGACAACCACAAGCATGTGAAGGCTCAGGGCTGCTAACATCAAGGGAGCTGAACCTTGCTAGTTCTTGATTTCAATATGAACTGAGCAAAGAACTCCCACCAACTGGCAACATCGTGGAATCCCACACAGTATCCCTCCAGTTTAGAGGGCTCTGAAGAAGAGGTTGCAGGGCTAGCAGCCACCAGCAATGGAGAACTGGCTGAAGAACTAGCCTACATTGGATTTCCACTGTACATGTGGCTCAAGGCCCAAGGATGGTGACACAGTTTGTGGCTTCTTGAGCTTCCTCTCCTGACATCATGCCAGCTCTCCTCCCTTCCTGTTGTGTCACCCATCTCTGTCTTGATTTCATGAGCATGCTGTATATAATTTGGGTGTGCTAATTTTATTGCCAATTTGTGCAGTATAAGGATCTCAATTCTGGCTAGGATTCTGCCTTTATTTATGGTATTTCTGATGTATAAAATTTTCTTGTGTGACTTGAATGGACTTTAGTTTTTCCTCTGTATTTTATAACTTGCTTAGAAATCTTTTCTTTGCTTGAATTCGTAAGAGTATTCTGTTATGTTTTCTTCTGAAAGTCACTGTGTTTAGATGTTCCTATCCATCTAGAATTTAACTGGAAGCATGACAAATGGAAGTAGATATCTCATTTTAGATTTTCTCTCTAAGGAACATTCATGAGGCCCTGGATTCATTCCCTAGCACTGGAAAAAAAAAAATAGACATCTGGTAGGGCAAATGCTCACTTTTTGTTCTTTAAAATTTTTCTTGGTTACTCTTTTTTGGGGGGGAGGGGCGTGGCTCAGCTCACCCTGGGGTCAGGGTTGAACTGCAGTCTCCTGCCAAGGCTTGCCTAAGCAGGCACTTTAGACCACTGAGCTATCTCCCTGGCCCTTCTTGGTTACTCTTAAATTGTTATTCTTCCACATAGGCTTTAGAAACAGTCATGTCTTTTTTTAAAAGTTACTTTCATTTTTTGAGACAGTGTCTTGCTATGTATTCTAGGCTAGCCTCACACTTATGGTAATGTTCCTGCCTCAGCCTCCCAAGTGTTGGGATTACAGAAATGTACCACCACGCCAGGAATTGAACTTGGGACCTTGCACTTGCCAGGCAGGTGCTTATTCCACTGAGCTATAACCCTGGCCCCTCTATTTATTTTTAATGTTGGAATTTCTATTGGAATTGTGAATATTTAACTGGCAAAATAGGTATTCTTACACTATTGATTCATACTTGTGAACATTCCTGTTGGATTTTTATTTAGGTCTCTCCTCATAACCTCCAATAAAGCTTACCACCCCCTTTCCCGATTGTAAACATCCTTCATACAAAGTACCAGCCATTAGTTCTGCAATATGGAGTTTAATGGGTGCCTGTTAAGTGGAGTGGCTACATTTATTTCTGAACTCTTCTAAATCCTTAATTTCACCTGCTCTAATCTATCACACAGAAAGGGATATTAATATCTCCCACTAAGAGGTCATGGACTTGTCAGTTCCTTTGTGAAGTTCTGCCCATTTTTATTTATGTTGTCAGGGGCCCACAAACCTGCAAGTGCTCTCTTTTCTTGGTGAGTCAAACAGCTTCATTGCCAATAATGCCTCTGCTTTAAAGGTATTTAGTATAATGCTAATGTAGTTATGTCCCCCTGTTGGTGTCACTTTCCTCATTGTGGAGACACAACACCTAATACCCATAACTTGAAGAAGGAACAGTTTGTTTTGCCACAGTTTCAGGCCACAGCTGGCTGGCTCCAAGACAGGACAGAACGGAAGAGGGGTTTGGTGTAGGAGAGCAGCTCACCAAACGCGGCCGGGAAGTAGAGAGCGAAGGGAGTGGGGAGGGAAATTGAACTCTTCCAGGCCACACCCCCAGC